CCCCTCTCCTTTCCTCCCCTCGCCCCCTCTCTCCTCTCCTCCGCTCTCCTCACCTCCCCTCTCCTCCCCTCCCCCCCCTCCCCCTCCTCCTCTTTCCCCTCCTCCTCTCTCCTGGCAGAGAGCTACTCCCCACCTCGGTGTCAGCCCCACCTAACCCGGTCCACCGAGGCGCGAGGCGCGGAGTCGTCCGGGCTTCCTAGAGCGTCCTAGAGGAAGCGTCGCGGGGGCGGGGCGTCCACGGGCCCGGGGGCGGGGCTCGAGAGCGGGGGACACTTCCTGTCCGGGGCCGCGGCTCAGAGTCCGGCAGGTGAGCGGCGAGGTCCCGGACCAGGGGACTGGGTAGGTGTGCGCGGCACGCGAGCTTCCCCGGCCCGGCACTGGCCCGGGCTCCTGGGGCCCTCGGAGTGGGGTCGGGTGGAGGGGTCGCCGTGGGGCCGTGGCCGGGGAGGAGAGGGCGGCCCCGCCTCTCCCGTCCAGTCCCGTCCGATCCTTCCTTCCTTGGGGTGGGGGTTGAGGGATAGCCGGGCGCGCGGGCTGAGATCCGCTGAGTCCCCCCCCCACGCGCGCCCCCTGCCCTCCTCACGCCCTCTCCCCTCCCGGACCCTGACTGCGTGCCCGAGGGTGGGAGCGCTCGGAGCCGCCTGGGCTGCCGGCCTCCCCGTCCCCACCCCCGGCTTGTTCGTCCCCTGCCCAGTCCAGCCAAACCCCAGTTCCTGCAGCGCCTCGGGGGCCACCGGGAGCTTCTGCAGCCACCCGGTGAAAGTAGGCTGAGCTGTGGCTGGTCTTGTGTCCGATGTACAAATGAGGGAACTGAGGCTCTGCGAACAGAAAGGACTTGCTGACAGCTCGCGTTAGAGCCGGGATGCCAATCCCAGGTCTCCTGACTCCGAGGTCAGTGCTTTTTTTCCACTGCTCTAAGCCAAGGCTGAAATGCTATTCTGAGTTGGCCCTGCCTTGAAGGATCCGTCTGCCAGACCCGTTAATCCAGAGAAAGGCCTGTGTGTGTGTTTAAGAAAATACGGCACTGAAATTTAATACAATATTTTTACTTCTTATCTTGCCACTTGCCGAACCACTGAATGTTTTTTTGATATGACTGAGGCATTTTTGTTTTTTGAGGTTCAGTGTATGTAGCAAGTAACCACTTCAACCAAATGTCCTGTATCAGTTTCTTCATCTGTAAAAAGAGAGGGTGGAGTTAAATGGGATGATCTGAAAGTCTCTTCCAGCTCTGACATTGTATTCTAATACAGAAAGCTTGATACTCTGACTTTTGAGCTATATTATTGTATCGACGCTTTCATTTCAACAGACACTAAGTATCCACTACGTGAAAGGCACTATGCTAGGTACTGAGGAAGATAAAAAATTTAAATAAAATACTTCTTGCCCGCATGGAGTTTAGAATGGGAATATGACACACTTGCAATTACAATTACAATAGAATATATATGAGTGCTCAAGAGACAGTTTGTAGCAGTGAATAGAAGGATCATCTTTGGAGTCAGGAAAACCTGGATTCAAGCCCAGCCTCTGACACATTTTAGCTGTGTGGCCATGGGCAAAGCTCAGTATCCCACAAAACTTTCTACAGCTAAAGTGCTAAAACTTAGTGATCTGCAGATGCATTAGTGAAGGAAGTTTCCACAATTAGACCCTCCAGAAAAGGTGCATTGTTGTTCCGTTATGTCCGAGTCTTCTGTGACTCCATTTGGGGTTTTCTTGGCAAAGATACTGGAGTGGTTTGCCATTTCCTTCTCCAGCTCATTTTACAGATGAGGAAACAGGCAAACAGGGTTAAGTGACTTGCCCAGGGTCACACAGCTAGGAAGTATTAGAGGCCAAATTTGAACTTAAGTCTTCCTGACTCCAGGCCCAGAGCTTTAACCACTTCACCATCTACCTAACTAGTACAAGGGAGAATAAAAACCAAATGCTATGCAAAGTTTAGAGGGAAGGGGAAGAGTATTACCAACTTTGGATGGAGAGTGAAGAAATAATCAGGGAAGCCTTCATTAAGGAAACAATATTTAAACTGGACCTTTCCACATCCTTATCTATTGCCTTAGAAAAATGAACAGCAGCCTGTTTCTTACGATGCTCCTTGCTAGTTGTGTGAAAATAGACAAGTGACTTAATCTCATCTACAAAATACAGACAGATAATACCAATAGTACCTTCCTCACACGGTTGTTGGATTGAATGAAAAGTATTACATAAATGTCAATTAGTAGTAGCATGAATGATGGGTGAAAATTGACCACAGTGTCAGGAAGAGGATTTTTCTGTCTGGCCTTTGATTCATATTGGCTATCTCTTACCCTGGAAAATTGAAAACCTCTCTGTGCCGCAGGAAACTCTTCTAGACCATAAGTTTCAGAATAGTTGTCTGTCTTATTTGATAGAGGGAGCTCCTTCCCTTGAAGTTCCCTAAAGCAATAAAATCCCAGGTCTGGGCCAAGAAAAAAAAGAGTGAGTCCCTTAGTCTACCTTTCCCTTCTTGGGTGTGTTTCTGAACCCTGATGTTTTATCCTTCCATACTACCACCCTCATCCTGCCACAATTTTCACTTTTCCCAGGTCTCAATTGTGCTACATCTTCAAGAAGGCTTCTTTAGGAAGATGGCAGACCTGGGGGGACAACAGGAGTCACCTCCTGTTCCATCCCCCATCAGTTTTTCATCACCTGGGATAACTCCTGGACCTCATCGCCACAAGGCACAGCTCCACCTCCATGATCATCAACATGGTACTCACTTCAACTATATCCTTCCCTACTCAGACTGCCTATTTTGTACTTTCCTTCCTATATCTACTTAATTAACATCTGTAAGCGTGTTCCTTTTTTTTTTCCTTTCAGTTCAGAAATTAACTAGTACTTGGCACATAGTAAGCCCTTAATTAATGCTTTTTCATTCATTCAGAGCGCTCCTCAGTTGCCCCTTGCTATCCTGACTAGCTGGATGAAATTAAGCAAGCACGGGGACAAAATGGTACATTTATGGAGTTTGGTGCCAGCAAACCAAATCTAAGATGAAAATGGGCTGGATAGGCACAGGAAAAATAGATAATCTGGGTTCACTGTTGACCACAAGCTTAGTAAGAGTCAGCCCTGAAATGCTATTGTGAAAAAAGCCAGTGGAATGCTGGGGTGTGTTAGAAGCAAATTCCTTGGCAGAGCCGAGAAGAGGATCTGGGTTTTTAATATCCCTCCTTCCCTGGTGGTGTAGTGAAAGGAAGCCTGGACTAGAAATCAGGAGATCCTGATTCCAGCCTTGACTCTGTGTTCTCACACATGTCTGTCCACTTCTCTTGGTGTCAATTTTTCCTTCAGTCCAAAAAGACAGAGAGTTTAGGTTAGTTAATCTTAAGGCAGAAAGTCATTAGAATCTGCATGCATTCACTTACATTCAAGATACTTCAATGTCTACTGTATAGAACACTGCACTCAGCACTGGCAAAGATATAAATTTTAGATGAGATTCCTAGATTGTTAGAAATGATTGGAAACTTAGTAGGCCCAGAGAGGCTGAGTAGCTTGCCCAAGGTCACGGGAGCATCTTTGTGTGACAGAGCCAGGACTCAAACTAAGTGTCCTGATTTAGGGCTCTTTCCTTTTCACTATACTTCTCCCAGGGAATTAGATTCCATTGATCCTCAAAGAGCTTACTAGTGGTGAGGCCTTTACCAAGAGTACCTTGTCTTATTTTAGTCGACACACTTCAACAGGGATATATGAAAAATGATAGTGGTCCTATAGAATAGGTAAAAAATGGTCCTTGAATGTGAAAAACATTGTGGTTTTGTATTGCGTGTTTGTGTGCACATGTGCACACATCCATGCATATATGTATACAATTGTACGTAGAATTTTTATGTACTTTCTTTGGTTTTATTGCTTAATATCCCACAAAAGTTAACTATTTCTTTGTTTCATTATCCTTGCAATTTGCTGGGTGTTAGGTGAAACCTCAGAGTTTTGAAATTTTTACATTTCTCTTATTATTAGTAATTTGAAACGATTTTCCGTTTGGTTGTTAATAGTTTGTAGTTCTTTTGAGAACTAATTGTTCATATCTTTTGACCACTATCTATTGAGGAATGCCTCTTGTTCATATATTTGTATTAATCTCTGTGTAGCTTAGATATAGCTGAAGTGTTTCATGTAAAAATTTATATTCCCAGTCATAGTTTCCCTTTTTATACTAGCTGCACTGATTTTGTTCACACAAGAATTTTTCAGTTTATCTTTTGTGATCTCTGTCATCTGATATTTGATAAAGAATTCTTCCCATAGTTATAGTTGTTAAAGATACTTTCATCCTTTTTCCTCCAGTTTTTATGTGACCTGTTATACTTAGGTCACTTTCCATTTGGAACTTATGGCACAAAATGCTTGTATTTTCACTTAAAAAATTAATTTCTATGTACAACCTGCCCATAACAGCTTATTTATTACTCTCTCTATATCCCCTCCTATTTTCTGACTATTCATCTCTGTATTTCTTAATGTATTTTTACTTTTATATGTTTGTAGTTAGGGATTCATGGCATTATATAGAAGGTATGTACATTGCTCTGATTCATCATAGTTTGATCTCTTTGCAGATTTGCTTTTATTCTTCATATGATCAAATTTTATTCTCTTAATAATTAGAGCCTTCCAGAATCCAGAAGTGTAATAACAACCTTAGAGAATAGTAATTCCACTTCCCTGGAAGTTTCCAGACAAATACTAAATGGGCCCTTGTCAGGCCCTCATCAGTGGTAAAGAAAAGGCTTGTTCAGATGGAAATAGGTGACCTTTTAGGGTCTCTTCTGATTCTGAGATTCTGTAATTCATTGTGATTCATATTCTGTTGATATACCATCCTAACTATTCACAAGCCATTGGATGTTTACCCTGTTTCTAGTTTCTTGTAGTTATAATGCTACTGGGTATAGTTTTGAACTAGTAGCTTTTTTTCTCTATTACTTGATCTTTATGGTAATAGTGATTTCCTAATTGTCAAATCCAATGTCTTTTCCCGATTCTCATCCCTCTTAATCTCTCTTTAGCATTTGATGTTGTTGATCCTTCTTTTCTCCCTAATCTTCAATTCTACCTGTCTGACCACTCTTCAGATCCTTTGTTGGATCTTCATCTAGATCATGCCCAAGGCTCTGTGCAGGGCCCTCCTCTCCCTCTCTGCTATTTATCTTAGTTATCTCATCAGCCTTCATGTATTCAATAATTATCTGTATGAAGATGATTCTTAGATTGTTAGATTGTTTATCCAGATCTAATCTCTCTTCTGACCTTTAATGTCATAATTCCAACTGCCTGTTGGATGTTTTGATCTGGTTGACCCATAGACAGTGTAAACTTAATATGTCCAGAACTGAACTAATTATCTTTATCCCCAAACCCTCACCTCTTCCTAACTTAACTATTACTGTGGAGGTTACCACCATCTTCTTAGTCACTTAAGCTGTTAATCTAGATGTAGTCCTTGATTCCTCGCTATTGTACACTCCTACATATCCAATCTATTGATACTACCTTTGATATCCAAGTCCGGTTGATGCTACCTTTGTACAATCCTCTTCCCACCTCTGGCACTGCCACCCTTGTGTAGGCTCTGCTGATTGGTCTCCCTGCCTTAAGTCTTTCCCATCCATCCATCCTTCGTTCAGTTTTTTTAAAATTACATTTTATTTGTTTTAATCAGCAGAAATGCATCTCACATTCACCCCAACTCCATCCTCCCCAGTTGAGAACAAAAGAAAAGCCCCATTACAAACATGTAGTCAGTCAATCAATTAAACATTTATTAAGCACCTACTGTGTGCCAGGTACTATGGTAAATGCCAGGGATATACAAAAAGAGGCAAAAGACGGTGTTTGCCATCAAGGAGCTTACAAACTTATGGGGAGTCAATATGCAAACAAATATTTGAAAAGCATGTTACATACAGGATAAATACAAAGGCAAAGCACTAGAATTAAGAGGGGTTGGGAAAGTAAAAGATAGTAATTCTAGTAAAAGAGAATTTTAGTTGGGACTTAAAGGAAGCCAAGGAAGTTAGCAGGCGGAAGAGGAAGAGTATTCCAGGCATGAGAGATAGCCAGAGAAAATGCCCCAAGCCAAGAAATGGAGCATCTTGTTTGTGGAACAGCCAGGAGGCCAGTGTTTCTGGATCAGAGAGTATGTGTCAGGAGTCAGGTGTAAGAAGACTGAAAAGATAGGAAGGGTATAATTTGTGAAAGGCTTTGATTTCCAAACAGAGGAGCATTTTGTATTTTATCCTGAAAGCAACAGGGGACCATTGAAGTTTATTGAATAGAAAGTAGCATGACTGGACCTGTGCTTTATGAAAATCACTTTGGCTGAATGGAGGATGGATTAGTAAGGAAGATGTTGAAGCAAGCAGACCCATCATCAGACTGTTAGAGTAGTCTAGGCATGTGGTGATAAGGGCCTTCACTAGAGTGGTTGCAGTGTCAGAGGTAAGAAGGGGAATTATTTGGGAGATGATGTAAAGGTGAAATCTGTAGGCCTTGGCAACAGCTTGGATATGGGGGATGAGAGATAGTGAGGGGTTTAGAATGATTCCTCAGTTGCAAGCCCAAGGGACTGAGATGATAGTGTTTCCTTCTACAGTAATAGGGAAGGTAGAGAGGAGGAGGGTTTAGGGAAAAAAATGAGTTCAGTTTTGGAACTGTTGAGTTTAAGATGTCTACTGGACATCCAGTTTGAGATGTCTAAAAGGCATCTTTCAAAGGAGATGTGAGTTTGGAGGTCAGCATAAAGTTTTGGACAGGATAACTAGATTTGAGAATCATCAGCATAAAGATGGTAATTGAATCCGTGGGAGTTGATGAGATCATCAAATGAAGTAGTGTGGAGGGAGGAAAGAAGATCCCAAGTGGTACTCTGTCACCCACAGATATAGGGCATGGTTTGGAAGAGGATCCCACAAAGGAGATAGAGGAGTGGACAGGAACGTAGGAGGAGAACAGAGAGAGAAAGGGTCCTGAAAACCTAGAGAAAAAGAATATCAAGGAGGAAAGAGTGATTAACATTGTCAAAAGCTGCAGAGAGGTCAAGGAGAGTAAGAATTGAGAAAAAGGCCATTGGATTTGGCAACAAAGAGATTAGTAATTATGATGAGTTCAATCAAAATAAACTTCCACATTGGCTGTGTTCAAAAATAATCTGGCTCATTCTGCATTCTAAGTCTTTCACCCGTCTGTCAGGAGATGAATAGCATATTTCATCATTAGTCCTTTGGAATTGTGGTTGGTACTTACACCAATAAGAGTTCCCAATTCTTCCATAGTTGATTGCCTTTACCATATCGTTGTCATTGTACAAAATGTTCTCCTGCTTCTATTCACTTCACTCCATATTAGTTCATAAAAGGATTCCCAGATTTCTCTGAAACCCTCTCCTTCAACATTTCTTATAGCACAGTAATATTCCATCACATTTATATATCATAACTTCTTCATCCGTTTCCCAATTTATGGGTATCTTTTCATATTCCCATTCTTTGCCACTTCAAAAAGAACTATAAATATTTTTGTACATCCTTGGAGTTTGTTTTCCTTAGGACTTATCCTAATCTATCCTCTCTCTAATTCTCCTTCCCCCCTTCTCCCTCCATTTCCTTGTTGAGTAAAGTGTATTTCTGTACCCAACTCTGTGTGTGTGTGTTTCCTTCTTTTGACTAGTCAAGATGATAGTGAGGTTCAAGTGTCAGTTA